TAATGGGAAAAAAACATATTTATCCTAAATCTGTGAACAACAATCTAATCTACCCTTGCCCTTAGGGTTTATATAATATTTAATACATATATAATATTAAAATGTAATATTTTTCCAATTGAAAAATACTGAAAGTAGATCAGGATATTTGTATGGCTTTTTTTCATTAGGCAAAATATGTTTTTTTCCCATTAGGCAGAAAGTATGTAGTTGATAAGTGTCAAAAAATTTAGGAGAAGTACAGTATTTTTAAGCAAAAGATCCTTGCTGTAATTGGAACATTCTTTACTCAACAATAGAATGGTTCTCATATCTTTTCTCTGATCAAAATGAGCTCATTGTTCAAGTATTGCTTTTTCCTAAAATAGCAGCATTTAGGGATAACAATATAGTTCTTTTCAGGGTTTATTACAAATAATACCATTTTTCTCTTCCACGTTATTTTTGTGACAACTAAAGAAAACCGAAATCATTGGAAAGTTATGTTTATGAAAGGTACCATTTTCCTCACACCATATTATCTTTCAGTGGTAAGAAGTAAATTTATAATAAACGTGGTGTTAATGCATTAATGAGCTCCTCCAACTCCAAAACAGGCAAATAATATATCAACTGATATTAAATAAATAAATTTAATGATTGTTTCCCGTCTGTTCCAGTCCATTACTTTGAACATTTATTTATAAAACAGTAGTAACATTTCAGAATCAGAGCACAGTGCATTTTTCTTTTCCTTTTCTTAAAGAATTTTTTTTAACAACAAAAAGTATGATAATTCTCATATAAGGATTTCCCCCTCGCAGTTCTCAAATTGAAAAAATATTCTCTCCGCTCCAGTTAGGATCTACACACAATATGCATGTCATCCGTTTATATTAAACCCTTGTGATTTCTAACACAACAACAGTATATACTCAAAGTATATACTTCCTTATGGTGGATGCTAGCCTAGTGCTATTGAAAGAGAACATACAAATCTTTCACCCAGTTTTCGGTGTTTTGTTTCACAAATTATATCACTTCTACAAGGAGGAGTTACAAACAGTTTTTAATCCTGAGGAAAACAAGTGCTTTAAGGCTTTCTGAGCAACCAATCTTGGAAATCAGTGATACACACACTGCACAATACATGTCTACATAATTACATAATGTATCTGCAGAAGCACCTCATAACATCTATGCCCTACTAAAGCTCTTGTGTCTGTTTGTATGTAACTTCCAATAGGGCAAAATTGGGAGATATAGGACCACAATTATTGAACCAAGGCAATTCAAATGGGTTAACTTACAGAATGTCAGGACTCATGACTACTGTTGGAATGAAATTTGGGGAACTTGTGGCTGCTTCAGTGACACTATCCTTCTGACCCCACTTGGCAGAAACTTGTAAATTGTATGGCACAAGGGAAGATGAGAAGGCTGGATCCCCACCTTCTTTCCCACTTCCCTCTAATCTCTGCACCCAATTAGCTGGTGGCAAGGGCCAACAGGCAAGTGGCAATTGGCTGCTTTGGAACCCAGGCTAAACTTTGAAATGTCTTAATAGGAGTTGGCAGCAAAGAAAAGAGGAGGGATTGATTTGGATGCTATTGGCAAGGTAGGGCTGACTGGGAGGCACTGGCAATCAACAGGGGAGCCCTCTTCCTCCCTGGAGGGAGGGGTCCCTTGGGGATGTGCTGGGATGGGAATTAGAGGGTCAATTCTGAGGGTCAGCCAAGGAGAAGGAAGAGTAATTTCCAGCTTTCCCACAACAGCAGTAGAGAAACTGGCAGGAAGTTGGAAATCTCTCCTGTTTCCTCTGCTTTTCTGCCCATACTGGTCATATGGTTTCTCTGCTTAGGTAAGCAAGTAGCTCTGAAAGGATGACCCAATGCATCATGAAATAGTAAAATGGAATATTTGCAGAAATCCCAAACGACTTTCAATGAGTTATTCATTTTTCTTATTCAGTTTTTTAAAATACTGTTTGATATGAATTAGAAGTACAACAATATATCTTTTAGTACATTCCTTGTTTGAAAAAATATTCCACTACAAATTCACACATTCAGTGTTGTTTATGATGAATGAAGTGACTGAAATAGGCATTAGGTTATTACATAACACTAATTCTAAACTTCTGTTATACTGCATAAATTAATTTACTTTCATAGGCAGTGGGTACAAGGCTCCAAGGATGTCCTACACTGTACATAAGCTTACACATTGTTATAAAAATGGCACTGTTTGTCTATTTCCTCTCTAGCTCAAGATTACACACAAACACAGCCTCTCAGAGGATCTACAGTGAATTTATAGAATGACCATAATCCTTCCATGGGCACTTCATATAAATGTGTAGCAGAATTTCTATGAGATATACTTTTAAATACCTGATTCTGTGAGCACACAATGGAACATAGAGATCCTGGTACTGAAACTAGAATGCCATCTAGTTATCCTTTTAATGATTCCATGAATGATAAAATACATATATAAATATAATACTCTATCACTGGAAGTTTTCAAGAAGAGACTGGAATGGTATAGAGTCTCCTGCTTAAACAGTGGGTTGGGCTAGAAAATCTCAACGGTCCCTTCCAACTCTGCTTTCTGATTCTGATATTTCCTTATACAATAATGAACTTCCAGTTGTGCCACCAATATCATGTTGCAAAACAATCCAAAATTAAATTGGATTTGGTGCCACATGACTGAATAAGTATCTTCATATATGACTAACATCATTACTAGTCCAACCTCTGAATTCCTTCCTAAAGTCTTCCTTAATAGAAAGGTGAAGTAGTAGTCCTGTACAGCCCTTCAAGCTATACTATAATGTTTTCATTTCTTTGGAGGCTATATAATTTTAGCACTTATGTACTAAGGTAACTATCTAGCTCTCCATCCATCCCTAAAAGACTAGAGATATATATTTAGATGAGAATGCACATGTTGGAGATACAGAGCAGGGAGTGTACAAATTCCAGAGAATTAAATAATAATAAACTGAATAGTTGGATAAAAATGCCAAATCCAGTGGATATATCTGGCTGTGTGATAATAAAAAAGTCTTTTTCTTTTTTTAAAAAAAAACTTGGTTTTCCTAGCATATTGTTCCATCTTGAATCAAATTATCCACTCTCTTTATTTCTCTTAAATGCAGATCAACACATCCTCACTATTAAGAAACAAAAGAATTGCAACAGTTGCAATAATGACAAAAAAAAAAAAGTCAGTGAGAAATTTTTGACTAAAAAAAAGTATACTAAAAAGCTACAAATACCACATTCTAGGAGACAGAATACACTGAGATTGTTAGACTAGAAGTTTTTCTAGGAATAAATCTATATAGTATCTTGTTTGGGTGCAAGGATAGCATTAGCCCAATAAGGGACACCAGTCTACAAAACCAAAGAAATATAGGTCAGGATTATTTTTATTGCCAGCCAGACCTTTTATAGCTGAATCTTGCAAGTCTGAATGTGTTTCCTCTCCCTCACTTTATCTTCAGGTGAACTAATGAGGGTCTTGTCTGAGATACTTTCTCAAGTTATTTTCTTGGCCCGAGCTCAAATCCCTTTTTGTAGCAGTTCTTCCTCCCTCCTTCCCTTCAACACCTCTACATTCCTTATGGCCTCTACTAATCACTAATCATTCCAACAGTGCTAGCTCAAGGTTATATAGGAGCCCAAGATTGCATTGATGGATGGTATCTCCTGCTATTAACACAAAGATTTGCATTTTCAAGGTAACTAGGAAGGAGGGGTAATATTGGTGACTCCTAAGCTTTGGCATCCTTGGCTAGTACCTACTTTGCCTTAACCTAAAGCCATTCCTGTTCCTATAGAACACACCCATATGTCACTATCTGGGTTTCACTGTTCACCTGAAGGTGAAGCAACATGAAGATGATTTTAGCTACTCCATTCGGAAGATGATGTTTTCCATTCTATTCTGCTTCTGGATACTATGTGCAATTTATATAAGATACATGATACACACGACATCTTAGAAGTGCAACTGAAATGATCCTCCACTTGTATTTCTGCAGCCAGCCTGCCTGCCTGGGAAGGAATTCTGTTTCCAGTGACGTTTGGTCTTAGGAGACCTGGCTTCTAACATACTGTTAGTTGGATAATATGCAGCTCCTATACCAATTCCTACAACAAAATACCTTTCTCAAACTTTAAGGTTTCAACAGCACAGACCCAGTAGTTGGGTGCTCTGGGCAATCATTCGATATTAGCCAAGCGTACAAAAATTCTTTACTATTGTCATCTAGTGGTTGATAGTTGAACCATCCATCCATAATTGCAAGAAATACAGAAATGTTCATTCAGTCAAGAGTGTGATGAAAAGGGGGGGGGGGAATCAGCATATGGAGTAATCAGAATATCATGCATGCCAAGTGGAGGATGTTTCTCATTTGATGAAAATGGTCAGGGCTGGAATATCAGAGCCATTAATCACAGCCTTTAGAACAAACTGATGTATTTCAGCATGTATTGCTACAAATGAAAGGGCAAAGCAGCGGTGTGGAGTGGATGTGGCCTAGATCCCACCTGCTTTGATTTATACTGGATCTCCAGTCCTACTATCTGTTACAAGAGAAATTTATTTGGAAACAGTGGTAACCTGGGTTCTTATGCATGTATCCTTTATGTTTTACTACTGAGCTATGACTGCTCTACTTTAATTCTTTCAATAATCATATTAAGTGGACTTTAGACTTAAAGTATACATTCATCTATGTTTCTCCACAGCCCTAAATTTAGAAACAAAGTAATAGGACTTTAAATCATACAAGCTGGAAGCTTGTATGGAACAGAATAGACTAACAAGCTTAATATAAATCAAATAATATCACTTGATACTTCTCAAACACAAAAATACTACCAACCTATCAGACCACCCACGCCTTCCACTGAAAAGCAAAAACCAACAAAAAGAGAAGTAAAATCTAGTTCAAATTAGCAAAACAATTTGCCCAGTCTCTTGGATGACTGGTGGCAGTAAAAGCTGTTCAAATGCCTCCAGATGCTCATACATTTCTATTCCTGTATGGCCATTAAGCTGTCAAGGATTGATAACCAAAAAAGATTCAGAAAAAGCAGTGGAGAGGCCCAAGCCGAATTTTAGGTAAAAACTATCAAGGTCTAACAAAGTGCTAGTCATTAATTAAGGCTGTTGTATCCCAGCCTTAATTGAAACTGAAAACATTAAAAAGGTTCTGTGAATGTTATTACAGTCCCTTCCTTTCTCAAAGGATTAAAAATCACCATCCATCATTACTCAGAGTTAACTAGTGACATCCCCCACCCCATTAAAGAGCATATTGAGTGTTCCTGTTCAATACAAAAAAGAACTCCAGTATGAAAGCACACCCAAAGAAGACATTCCCACTGGCCTGTTGATAATAGATCAAAAGGTGGGAATAGACACAATTGACCTTAGGTTATTTATTGTACATTTGAATGCCAAATCTTGATTAAAGATGCTTGTCAAAAAGGGCACAGCACTACCTGGATGTCCAGGGTGGTTCATAATCATATTGTTGGGAAAATATTCTAACTGGCTTTGTGGGACTGGAGTATGAAGAGCACAGGGCACAGGAAATGTCTGCAGGAATCAGACTGACCATATCCATCGTTCAGTCACAGAAGATGAGGACAGATTGTGTTCACTTTTGGCTAATGAAGGCAGAGGAAAACGTGAGGGATTAACATTTCAAGAATTATGGACAAACCTTTGTGCTAAGGGTTCTCCCATTCCCACCAGAACACAAACCGTCTCTGATTCAGGATCCATTTCTTATTAGCCTCATAAGTCTTTGAGGAATTCTAAACATATAAGTCAAATGAAGAATTTTCACTTCACAAATAAACAATATTGAATTCCTAATCTCCTTGGAGGGCTTCTGTTCACAGCATATCAGTGTCTTCCATGCTGAAGCTGCTTCTCCGACTGCTGGCCTTTGAAGCCTCTGGGGACACAGTGGAAAACAGGGGGTCAGAAGCCACAGGAAGCATAGTATCCTCCATTAGCATCAAGTCTAACTCCTTCTTGGACAAGGAGGGGAAAGAGACATTTTGGCTAGGGTCCAGCGGGTCATGGAAACCTCTACAACTGTCGTCAAAGCTCAGGCTGTGGGTAAAGTCCAGCTGATGATAAGGAGATTGCGGGGGAGGAGGAGGAGGAGGAGCAAAGTGAGGCAGGTGCTGAGCTTCCTGTTCAGCTTGCAGTTGTGGTTGCTGTAAGAGCTCTGCTGTCCCCTCCTCTCCAGAAGTTTCTTGCTTCACCATATGCTGAGCTAGTTCAGCCATGTTCGTGCCAGAAGGTGAAGCGGTTGGTAACCCATGGACTCGAGCTTGCATCTCCAGTTCCTTGAGAACAAAGCACCAAAAGAAAGAATTCTTACACAAGAAAAGCATAGAATATATCATCACAGCCACCCCAACACTCTGCTCTGTTCTACTATGAATACACAACAGTGTGCAATAAATAATAACACTATGATTCATGCTTGGGGACCTTCTACACTGGGTAGGTATAGTATGATCAATAAACAACAGTCTTTACTTCCATATGGCAAATGCAAATTTTACAATACATACAGCTACATTATTTTCCCCATTTCTTTTTATTTTTCCAATCTAACAAAAAATTGAAAATAATTTATCCAAAGGGTCCAAGACTTGGTTTGTCAGCAGGGTAACTCTTCAAATCCAGAATGGGACAAGGTCAAATTCAATACAGAGAGAGAAGCTGAAAGAAGAAAGACTTAAGTTCAAAATGTCAAATCTAGGTTATGGTTGTGGAGGAAAGTCCAGAGAAAAACCCTAATGGTTCCTTGTGGAAGAGACAGTTGGGCAGTAATCAAGAACGTTGCAAATTTTTCCATTTTTAACTCTCCCTCCATTCTGATGAACTAGAGCAGTGGTTCCCAAACTTGGCAACTTTAAGACTTGTGGACTTCAACTCCCAGAATTCTACAGCCAGCTCTGCCGGAAACCAGAAGAGCAGCTCCCTAGTGCACATGTGCATCCCGGGAAGATGAACTTTGGGTTTCTGAGGCACAAATGAGCAATGTGTGGCTGTTCTTCCAGTTTCTGGTGCTGCCACACACGGGAGTTGAAGTCCACAAGTCTTAAAGTTGCCAAGTTTGGGAACCACTGAACTAGAGTGAAGGTGCTGGGAAGAAAATTCAGAAGCCATATGCTCTGTATCTCTTCCTTACTGGTTTCATTTTGCATTTTTCTTTATAAATGCTCTTATTAATCATTTAAATGTTTTCCTACACCAAGTAGAGTAAAACAAGGATAGGCAACTTTCTAAATTCAGAAACCATAACTAACTTCCCAACAGGTGAAAGCACCAAAAGTGGAATAGCTGGTATATTTATCAGCCATTTTTTGGTGTTTTCCTTAATTTTTAAAGTTGCAAATTTTTAAAGTGGCAAATTGTCCCATTTCCAGTCTTCCATTCAGTTTTGCAGTCTTCCACACAATCTCCACCTATTTGATGATCCAAGAGGCACAGTTTAATCATGCAATTTCAAACTATTTGGGGTGGGTATGGTGAAAGTAATTTGTCTTCCAGAGCATCTCATTTCTATTTCCACTTTTATTTTTGAAAACAAAACAAAAGTGCTCATACTTTTTAGCAGCAAAATCAGATGCTAGGGAACTGAAAATAGGGCACTTGGAACCATGGCACTTGAAGTTCAGGATAGAAAAAGAAAATGAAAATGAAGCATTTCTAAAAACTGTTTTCCAACAAAGCTATCTTGGATGCCACATCGCCATGTGAGAGCAATGTTGTATTAAAAAAAATGGTATGACTTTCACACAATCACTGAATTCCATCAGTGAGCACGCAGAAATGACTATTACTGTAAGAATTGGCTTTGTAGCCCATGTTTTGAATCTCTTCTATGTTTTTCCCTAGCATGACAACACGAAGCAAGATTTTCAAACAGTAATGGTAAAGGTTCCCCTTGCACATACGTGCTAGTTGTTCCCAACTCTAGGGGGTGGTGCTCATCTCAGTTTGAAAGCCGAAGAGCCAGTGCTGTCCGAAGAAGTCTCCGTGGTCATGTGGCCGGCAGGACTAAATGTCAAAGGTGCATGGAACACTGTCACTTTCCCACCAAAGGTGGTCCCTATTTTTTACTTGCATTTTTATGTGCTTTCTAACTGCTAGGTTGGCAGAAGCTGGGACAAGTAATGGGAGCTCACTCCGTTACGCAGCACTAGGGATTTGAACCACTGAACTGCCAACCTTCTGATCAACAATCTCACCATCTTAGCCACTGAGCCACCGCGTCCATTGATTCAAATAGTAGAATTAAGCTAATCTATTTTCAGTGAGATAATTAAAGAAAGCACGTTCTATAAGCACATAAAAATGCCACAGGCAGTAAAAAGTACAAGATATTGGGGTTTACCTGTATACGAAGCCAAAGCTGCTTGTTAGCCATTTCCAGACGCCGAGAATGATTCTCAAGATCTCGTGATCTCTGCAAATCTTTCTGCATCCTTCTGATATAATCAACAGAGGCTTTCAGGATTGTCCCTTTGTTCCAGCGCACATCTCTGGAATAAAGCATAGGAAAAAAACTGTTGCCATTCCAAAGGATTACTTCCAGAGTTAGAAAAACTCTTGCTGTTAATTTTTTCATTAAGATTTTCAAACAAATGGACATAGAGGCCAGTAATTCAAGACACTATATAAAATTTATTACACTTTCTATGGCCAAATGACTTGACTTCTCTAGATCAGATGTGCCACCTCCCCAATTGCTGGACTTTTAAACTGCTTTATCAGCTTGGGTGGATGAAGCAATCTCTCAGAAAACAAAGCAAGACTGGTACCAAAAAATGTATCCAATTGTAAGACAGTTTGTAGATGTCATATGGAACTCATAGGAACCAATAAACAATGTCATAGCATTAACATTCCCAGGAGAAATTAAGCTGTGCCAATAACCAGCCATATTGCATGTTTACATGAGTTACAGAACATATTTATTTCTCCATCAGAGCTGGATATTTTGTAAAAATAATCAGTGTACCACCTGCCATAGCATTATTGACTACATTATGTTTCTATTTCAACATGGCTTTCTTGCCAGATAATTTTTAAATGCCAGATAATTTTTAAATGTCTTTTCCAACATTACCAATTAGTACAGATTCAACTCTTCTCTGGCTATCAGATCCTTGCTCAAAAACACTCTTTCCTCACCCAGCCTCTCCAGATGTGTTGGGATTACAACTGCAGGGTTCCCAACCAGTGTGCATTTTCGTAATCACAGTTCCTCTTTCTGGCTACAAACACTAGGGGTTGGCAAATGGCACAATCCATCCTGACCGAAGCAGGGTCACGTCACATAAATTGTGAAAAACTAGTTGGTTTACTTCACTGCAGCAATCAGTTCTTTTGTTTTATACATATTTAAAAATCTAAAAATATCCATTGCAACTGCCTACTAAAGCTTGATGGTCTGTTTTGAAAAGTCAGTCCTGACACATAAAGAAATCCCTTTTAGCGGAGCACATAAATTTCAAAGATTATAATCTAAATTTTGAGTATAATATTACACTGAAGAAATTAAACAAAAGTTGTTTCATATAGCTAATACATGATAGGACTTATGTATGTGGAGGACTAATGTTCTTCTAATCTAAAATTCATATGAGGTGTCATCTTGATCACATGCTATCTTTAACCAAACCCTCTTGTTGAAATCTGAATGTAGCCAGTTGTGTTAGTTTGTTTATAAGCTTTCCATAGCAAAGAGCTCTGGTGTGTGAAATATGAAGGAGCAGCTTTCACTCCTCACTCAGCCAATGGCTATTTAAGGGAGCACAACACTGGTGCTCCTTTCTGATGCTATTCTTATACTGCCTTGCTCCCTTGGTGCTATTTTGGCATTTTACAGCATTGTTACTCAGAATTCATTCTATCTAGGCTCAGTGCAAAGGCTTATACCTCACTACAAAATGGGGACCAGGGGGGATTCAAATAACAGGGTGTGCAGGCATGAGGGGAAAACAGATTAGCCATATCTGTGGTTTCCTTTAAAATTGCTTTTCTTTTGTATTTTGTTTCTCTCCAACCGCAGGTATTCAGTACAGAGCCTACTGGAGTAAAACAAATTTAGAAACAGGGTACTGCAGGGATGTTTTTTTCCTGGAAGAAAGAGTAGATGCAGGGTAGAAGGTCAGCCTTCCCACTTATATTATCCCCCAGAGGTATTGACAAAGACAATAAAAAGGCAGGGATTTGATTTGGATAATTTTTCATTTGAAATTTAAAGAAGTTTGGTGTGTTTTTTAAAAGGCAGAAATAAAATATAGTTTTCAACACAGCAGACATGGGAAAATAATTTCCTATCTAACTTTTACTTGGGTTGCCTATTTCTCAAGGCAACCAGACTTTGACTCTTGTCTCTCTTTAAGAGGGAACAGGAAAATACAATCCATTGACTAGAACTTACAGATCACTAGCTTTTGGAATCAGCATCCCTAATTCCTTTATACGATCATTAATGTTGAATCTTCGTCTTCTTTCAACTTAGAACAGAAAAAGAGAGAGAGAAAAATCCTGTATGAGATATTAAACATTATAAAAAATTTCAGCTTTGTTAATCAAAAAACAAGTATAAAGAGGGTAAAGTAAATAATGAGATAATGCTTATTTTAAGAAAAATACAAAATATTTGAGTAACGGGCAACCAATGGCAGAAGGAGAATAACTCTGGTTTGAAAGGCTGGGCCTATACTGATGAATATCCTTAGAAAATATTAAATTCCTCCTTTTGCATTACTCCAATTACTCCTAAATTTCTCCCTTTGCATTAACCCAATACAGGAACAACAGTTAATCCATCTAGATGCTCACACAACAAAGCAGTTCCAATACAACCTACCATTTCTGCCTTTATTGGACAGATCTTATCTGACTATTACAATCCATTTCCTGTAGATTACCGTATTGAGTTTCCTATAAAAATACAAGGCAATAGAGAAATTGCAATGGGTCCAAACCATGGTGGCTAGGCTTATATCAAATACCTCCTGGTGGGACCATGAAACAGCCAGTTCTGACAGGTTCTGGAGAACCGGTAGCAGAAATTTTGACAGTGGGATGGGAATGGGGATTTTGCAGTATCCTTACCCTGCCACGCGCACAGAACCAGTAGTAAAAAATTTAAATCCCACCACTGTTTAAGATTTAGGGGTGGTAATCATAATTTGTAGTAAGAAAATTCTTACAATAGCACTAATTTCCATCAGACTTCCTAATAAAATCATGTTGTTTGTTATACATTTATTTCTTTAATTCATCCTTTTTTCTTTTAATCTCTTATAAAATCACCTATATTTTCTTTTGTTCCCCCCCCCCCCGCAATAAAATAGTCTGTAATAATGAATTTTCTTGTATCCCAAGTTGTTCTTATGTCTGTGCTTTTAAGTTATTCTCAATTTTTTTTGTTATTTTTTTTTACAGTCTTTGACTGTCCAGTCTTTCTGTGACAATATTTCATTAATCTCCATCTAAAAGTTGCATGTTTCCTTTTGAGAATAATATTCACTGAGTTGTGATTAGAAAAAGTCTTTAATAGAATACTTTAGAGGTCCTGGTGGCCAAATTTTTCAAAATCCATCTTATCTATTCTTGAAAACAATAATAGTGGTACCTTTTTGAAAAATAAGTGTACAGTAATTGCGGTTTTTTTTTCTCCATATGTCAACCAAAGTTAAATTGTCCATCAAATTGAAAGTCTTTGGTAATTTTGAGTATTTGTCTTTGTTTCTAATGTGGATTTCCTATAAGCAAATTATGGCTTATTTTAACTTTTTCAAGTAACTAAATTTTAGCTTGGGGATATTTATATTCAATGTTAAACATCTATATTCCATGATCAATCAAATAACTTAGAAAAGTCTGTGCTTGTAGCAACCACTTTTTCAACATCTGTCACATCTGTGATTTTTAATCATTTTTTCTGTTTTCTCCATAATTTTATTTTGAACCTCTTTGTTTTAAATTTCTCCCAAAATTCTCTTGCTCTTTGAGCAACATAGAATCAAAATTTGAAGATCCCACTCCATTCCAACAGTCTGCTTCCTTTGTGCCTTGATTCAAGAAGTATTTAAAACTTAATATGTACACTGCATTCTGTTGTCCATCTCTATTTTCAGTCTCTTTCCTGGGTTTTATGATACCACACACTGAATTTTTTGATAAGCCATTGTGTTTAATGATTTATGCAGTTTCATGTATTTTCCTTTGTATTTCAGTATCAGAGTTGATTGAACTTCTGAGTAGAATATATGTATATATGATGTTTTATGATAGATATCATTCCAAATGAGGCATTTTCTGCATATTCTAATACTAGATTCTCTTTTTAAATGATTCATGTTTGTGGTTTTAAAAACTTAGCATTAAGAATAATTTACACACTGAGATAAAAACATTAAGTATATCCTTTTAACAATATGCAGAAATAACTGTATATTTTTATGATTAAATCATCAAAGCTAAATTACCATTTACAAACAACTTAGATTTTTGATACTACATTTAAATATAATGAAAGCTTCTGAGTGACCCCAGCATTGTGCTCTTCGAGACATGTTTAACATTAAGGATCAACTCAAATCTATCTTTCAATAGTTCTCTAATAAAAGTTATGCTTAAGTTAGGTCATTTCCGCCATCTTCCTGCAACATCGCACTAAATCTCAGTAATGTCAACCTCACAAAATTTTGGGATAGTCAGGTTCTGCAAATAGGTCTGCAAACATCTGCAAAAGATGTATCAACACCTTATGCTAACTGATTTCTAGCTATCTATCCTGAATTCTCTGAGTTTTAAAAACAAAAATGTTTGCTAACAAAAGCCTTAACATGCCGATCCGAGGCAGTGGATCCAGGAGGGCTCCTTGGTTTACTGAGGAACTCCAGGAGATGAAGCGCCAAAAGAGACGCCTAGAGCAACGATGGAGATCCAGTAAGTCTGAATCAGACCGAGTGCTTTTAACATCCAGCATCAGAGTCTACCTCCGGGCAATCAGGACGACAAAAAGAACACACATTGCCTCTCTGATAGCTTCCGCTGAGTGGCGCCCAGCCGCCTTGTTCAGGATAACCCGTTCCCTCCTAAACAGGAGGGATACGAGCGATCCTTTGCAAGGCAGAGCTGAAGACTACGTCCAATTCCTCGTGGATAAAGTTGCTCAGCTTCGGATGGACCTGGAC